AGACCATCCATAACTAAAGCAAAAAGATGTGGGCTTAAAGTTGACCCCTGATGTAATCGAACAAAAATAGGAAAATGTTTTGTCAATCCTCCTTCAGTTTGAACACAAGTAACAGCTCTAGTATACATATCTTTAATGACTTGAATATAAGTCATATCAACACATTTCTTCTCGAGTACTCTCCAAAGGATATCTCTTGGAACCTTATCGTAAGCTTTTTCTAAATAAATAAAAATCAAATGTAGGTTCTCCTTATTATCTCTGAACTTCTCCATCAAACCTCTCAATAAATGTATAACTTCCATAGTAGACCTGTCTGGCATAAATCCAAATTGATTATGAGAAATTTTTGTGATGCGTCTTAACCTATGTTCAATTATCCTCTCCCATAATTTTAAAGTATGACACATCAACTTAATTCCTCTATAATTTGCACACTCTTGTGCATCCCCTTTATTCTTAAAAATGGGGACCAAAATACTCTTTCTCTACTCCTCAGGCATCTTTTTAGTTTTTAAAATAATATTAAAGAGTTTAGTAAGCCAAGAAACTCCCACATCTCCCAAATATTTACACACTTCAATTGGGATATCATTAGGTCCTACAGACTTTCCCCCCTTGGTTTTCTTGAAAGCCTCCTCAACTTCTTTTTTGCTAATGCGACGGTAGAAATGAAACGTTTTATTATTATTCGTGATATTAAGATCACTAAGGTCGATCGTATTTTCAGAAACTTCATTAAAAAGTTTATCAAAGTAACTCATCCACCTATGTTGAATATATTTTTTCTAATAAAAGTACTTTTTGATTTTCATCTTAATACACTTGAGTTAAATCTTTACTTTTCTTTTCTCTTTGTTTGGCTAGTTTATACATATATTTTTCACCCTCCTTAGTATCTAATCTATTATAAAGATCATTAAAAGCAGAATTTTTAGCGTCACAAATTGTTCTTTTAGACTCTCTGCGGGTCGTTTGATATTTTTCTCAGTTCTTTAAGCTTTTACATTTAAACCAATTTTTAAAACATAACTTCTTATATTTTATCTTTTCTTGCACATTATTATTATTCCACCACCAACTTTTATTTTCTTATATAGATAGTACAAGGCTAAATGTTCTTTTAGCCTTGTACTATCTATATGCAATTTATTTTGTGAATGGATAGTCTTCATTCGTTTCTATTGAATGTTGCTTGAGATTTTAAACATAATATTTGAAAATAATTTCGAGTAACTTTTAGCTATATTACAAGACCCACCTCTCTCTTTTCCAATACTCTGATAATCATTTTATCTATTCATCTATTGGTGCATTTTATATCATTTTTTGTACATCTTCAAACTATATATGCTCATTATCTAAAAATATGTCCATCTATGCTTAAAATTTGCTTTTATCTTACAATAATATAGTCATTCTGTGGCAAAGTGCTTCTTAATCAAAGTATAGACATTAAAAGGGAAAATCTATTGGCTCACATAGCCTGCCTATACAGTTTGTCCTACACTTGTAGCTTTCTACTGTTATCGTTATTGTTCTTTGGTGGTTGTGTTTTGATTCCAATTTTAAATAATAGCTATTCTTAACGTCTTCTTACTTTGATGTCGACCATTTCTGCTTTCTGATTTGTTAATGCAGCGAACGTTTAGCTCTACCTGATACACCATCTCTTTTTGCGCGAATTTTGATTCTCTCTAGATGGTAGTTACATCTGTGTTTGGATTCTCTTGGTCATTGATATATTTTCTTTTTCTTAGTTTTGCTTGACCATGTAATGTTGGAAGTCACCATAAGAAGACTAACTTTGTGAAAGGGTTTTTGAGGCATAATATATATATATA